TTGTTGTACGTGAATTCGATTAGTGGCAGTTGATGTTCCCACGTGGTCGGGTCATCACACGTGGCCCTGATGAGCTGTTCCATGGTCTGATTTGTCCGTTCTGTCTTTCCGTCGGTTTCGGGGTGGTATGATGAGCTGAATTGCAGTCGCGTGCCGAACTGCTGCCACAGGTTCCGCCAGAAGTTGCTGGTGAATTTTGTGTCGCGGTCGCTGATGATCGCGGCTGGTATCCTGTGCAGTCGAACGACGGTGGAGATGAAGAGGCATGCTGTTTCTTCGGCTGTGATTGATTTTTTGCAGGCTGCGAAATGTGCCATTTTCGTTAGTCGATCGACGACGACCAGGATCGCGTCATTCCTACTCGCCCCGGCTGGTAACCCTGTGACGAAGTCCATCATCACCTGCTGCCGAGCACACTCTGGGGGTGGTATCGGCTCCAGCTATCCCGCCGGCTGCTGTCGTGATGATTGTCAGAATATTATGTTTCTCTAGTCTGCAGTGGGGTACTCTATAGTGAGTACAACCCTTTTAGGGTTTGCTATATGTATCCCAATGTTTGCTAGTGAGCCCCCTTCTCTTCTTCATTCCTCATTTTTTCACATGCTATCAGAGCATCTACGCTTCTGGCCTGTGGGCCCACCTAACTGCTTCCGCTGCTACTCTGTGTACTACACGCCTCATGGCGTGCCCCTCGCGCGACCCTTAGTGGCCGCGTCTCCACCCTCGCAGCACTGTCGCCGCCCTTCTCGGCCCCTCGCGGCCCCTTCGCGGCCCCGTTGCCGCCCCTCTCAGGCCCCTCGCGGCCCCTTCGCGGCCCCGTCGCCGCCCCTATCGGCCCCGTCGCCGCCGCCAGCGGCCCCGTCGCCGACCCTAGCGGCCCCGTCGCCGACCCTAACAGCCCCGTCGCCGTCGCCAGCGGCCCCGTCGCCGACCCTAGCGGCCTAGACGCCGCCCCTATCGGCCCCGTCGCCGCCGCCGGCGGCCCCGACGCTGCCCCTAACGGCCCGTCGCCGACCCCAGCGGCCCCGTCGCAGCCACTTGCGGCCCCGTCGCCGCCCCTTTCGGCCCTTCCTCGACCCTGCCCCGGCCCCGCCCTGGCCATGCTTCGTCGCCAGTCGCGGCGCACCGGGGGCACGTGCACCGCCCCCCCCCCCCCCCCCCCCCCCTTTTCCCGTCGCCTATCGAGGCGACCTGAGGGGGCCGCCTGGGGGAGGGGGGCGAGCGCCGCCCCTTTTGCCGCCTCTTTTGGCGCCCTTGGAGGCCGCGCGTCGCCCCCCTCCCCCCCCCCCCCCCCATACCTTCCCTACCCGCCGTCCCGCCCTGCCTTGTGTTAGGGTCTGGGGGTGGCGAGTAGGGGGTGGCGGGTGTGTGGTCTCCCGTGCTCCTCCTCCTCCTCTGTCTCCCACTGCTGCAGCTGCCGCTGAGAAGGGTGGATGTGTGGGAGCCAAAGGCGTGGTGCTAGGGGGTGGGGTGTGAGTGAACCTAGGGGTGCAGTAGGGGGTGTGTGAAATGGGGGTGGGATAGTTTGGGGAGGTTGAAGGAGGTGGCCGCCGTGAAGCCCGCAGCTCTAGTCGCCCATGAGACCGTTGCGCCAGTCGCGCGTGAGCCCGCTGCTCCAGTCGCCCGTGAGTCCGTTGCTCCTACCGCTCAGAGTTAGCCGCGGAGCCAGTTACTCCAGTAGCCCGTGTGCCAGTTGCTCCAGTTGCCCGTGTGCCAGTTGCTCCAGTTGCGCCATGTGCCAGCAGCTTCAGTTGCCGCCCACTACCTCCTCTCCTCTCATAGTCCCTCCTCCTCCACACTTGCCCTCTGCGATAGCCTCTAGCTTTGCTTACATTTGTGAACTTTAACGGTTGCTTCTTGTACTTGTGCTCAGAGTGTGTGGTGACATTGTGATCCACCCTGAGCTTGTTCTGCTTTGCTTGTTGTGCTGATTACACCCCACTTTGACTATGGGGGTGTGTCAGAATATTATGTTTCTCTAGTCTGCAGTGGGGTACTCTATAGTGAGTACAACCCTTTCAGGGTTTGCTATATGTATCCCAATGTTTGCTAGTGAGCCCCCTTCTCTTCTTCATTCCTCATTTCTTCACAATGATTTCATGAGTTGACAAGTGGGACACGATGCCACGTGTCGTTGTACGTCGGTCAACATTTCGGGCCAGTCTTAATACCGCTGTAGCTGCTGCCGTGTTTTTTCTACTCCGAAATGCCTCGAGGTAACTCCGTCGTTTGCCTCCTGTAACAGTAATTCCTGTAGCAGTGTATACCCAGGCACCCAAATGCGGTCAATCCCGGTTTTTACGTAATAGACTCCCCTTGTTGTTGCGAACTGCTGCGAATTTCCTCTTGTGAAGAATGGATCCGTTTGGTACCCGTGGGTAAATAGGCCTGTCAATAGCAGGCTTGTCTGGGCGAGTAGTATTGCGTGGATCTCGGCAGTGGGGTGGGTCACTGCGTCGGCGATGTTTGAGGCTCCCTGTTTGTAAGTGACCGTGTAGTGAAAATTGGACTCGAGGAAGTCGAGCCAGCGAATCTGTCGTGGGTTGAGGTGTGGCTATGCGCGAAGGTACTGTATTGATTTATGGTCTGTTCGTACTGCCACGTCCGCGCCAGTCAAGTAACAGCGCCATACTTTGTCGGTGCGTGTGGTGGCGCTGGAGTGTTCATCGTCGATTGCTGACGCGGGGAGTCACGTTCCGCCGTGAGCGTCGCAATTTCGAGCGCCGAATCTTCAAGTTGGCGCACCAGACGATCGAGCTGCTCCTGCGTCAATGTGGCAAGTGTGAATTCGGCCATGGCGGGGGTGTCGGGCGAGCTCAGCGAGAGCCTCGGTCGTGGCCGTGCGTGCTTACGAGAGAGCACTACGAGCGGCGGTGCTGTGTCGCTTAGAGACGTCTAACCCCCCCCAAAAATTGAGATAGTGGGGAAGCGAAGGTGTGGGTGCGGTCCGAGAAGAGATTGTAGGCTCTGAATACCAAGTGTTACGAGTGCAATTGAGTGAACGAACGAGAATTGCACTATCGAAGCAAGAGTACAATGAGCGAAGGCATGAGCGAAGAATATATAGCGAAGCTACAGTGGTAAGGGTAATGGATTGTGGTTGTCGCGCGACGGGCCTGGGACTGAGGTTGGGAAAAGTGTCGAAGCGAAGGCCCGGAGCGCGGGTTACCCGCCGAGCCGTGAGGTCGGGATGCGACGTGCGAAGGTGGCGGGCGGATTGTCGATGCGAGGGTTGCGAGTGGTAACGGTGCTGATTGTGGTGCTACAGTGATGTACGCGTTGAGCGGGGATGCGAAGTCAGGAAAAGGAATTTTCCTTACACGGAATCATACAACACTAAGAACATGTACCGTATTTGTTACAATTGCTGAATATTGAAAACCGAAACCATCATTAGTGCTGTACATACATTAAATGGCCAGAACCGCTGCAAGCTAGAACTGCAGGCAAATCAGTTACAATCCCCCCAAAAAATAGATGTTACTGTTCAAATTGCCTGTCCATCCATGCCATCTCACGTAGCGTAATGTACTTAACCACCAATCACACCACATGTAGATATTAAGCAGGATTCAACAGCAGTCCCAGCATCATGTTGTTTCACAACAAAACGGTTCCTGGCACAAGCACCATGTGATACAGAAGACACACTCCCGTGGTGCTGATAGTACAGGCGTGGCAGTCGGGGCAGGTGTGACATGTGGGAGAGCCAGTGGGCCACTGGAGGACTCGGCATGAATGCTGCTGCTGCCTCTGCTTCTTCCTCTTCTCCTTCCGCAACTCCTATCCCTCTCTTGTCCCCTAACCGTGGACCCACCACGCCCATTGCCTTTTCGGTAAGCCCTGCCATTTCTCCATCCTCGTTATAAGCTCCCTCGGCCGCAACAGAAAGCTCGCCCCCGTGCGTGTTGCTAATAGTGCGGCCACGAGCAAGGATATCTGTACCATCAATTACTGCTTCAGGAAACTCAAGTTCCTGGTAGGTGGTGGTACCCTCAGCTTCATCAGCACAGGGAAACTCGGAAGTTTTACACTTGGTCGCAGTTGCTGACTCAGCACCCCCAGAAGCCGAAGCACCCTTACCAGCCTCAGCACTCTCAGCAGCCTCAGCACTCTCAGCAGAGACTGTGAGAGAAGCAGCACCCATGGTTGTAGCACCTCCACCGCCGCTCCGCTCACCCTGCTGTTTTCCTTGCTGCTCCCTCTGCTGCTCCCTCTGCTCCACTCCCCCAACTGGCGCCATCCAGACTATGCCTCCTACAAGTGAGCCAGCTCCGGTGGCTCCTACAGCTGATTTACCACTTTCGCCGACCACCACTGATAGCACGGCGACACTGGGAGACGGGTCACCGTCTACGGCGAAGCAAGCAAACAGATTGAACACGGACTCAGTCATGTTATGAGCATGTCCTTGGGAAGAAGCACCAGCGCCGCTGCTGCCGCTGCTGCTGCTCCACCTGCTGCTGCACTGCGCCCGCCACATCTGCGGTTTCAGCTCGGCCCACGAGTCTCACTGTAGCGAGGCGACTTGTAACGAGGAGGCTTGTAACGAGGTGGCTTGTAACGGGGATGGTTCCATGTAGTCAACAAGGAGAGTGATGGCGGAAGGTTTTTGCGCGGGGCCGATGACACGGATGTCATAATTCACCACCACATGGCCGTTCCTGAAGGAAAGATAAGGGAGATTAACCAAGGGAATAGTGGGAATTAGTAGCACATAACACGGAGTCAATGACACGGATGTCCGTTCCTGAAGAAGAGAGGAGGACAACAATGTAACACTCATGACGAAAGATGGCTTTGGAGTTGCCTCAGAAGGCAGTCATGGCAAATTACTTGACGCAGTTTGGATGCAGAAAGATAGCGCCCGAGCTCTCCAAACTGTTCCCAGTATTTTGCCATGACTGTCTTTTGAGGCGACGCAAAAGCCGTCTTTTGCTATGACTGATGTTTTTCTATTCTAGAAAGAAACGGAAACACTGTATCCAGCAATGATCGGCTTACTTGAAAGCTCCCAGCATAAACGCCCCTCCGCGCATGCCCAATGCAAGTCCCTCCCCCATCTCCCCCATTTCCCCCTCCAGCCGCACTTCCAGGCGCGGGTCCTGTGGGGGGTAGCGCGGAATGATGATGTCTGTGGTGGGAGATGGGGGGATGGGGGATGGACGAGGTGGAACGCATGGGAGAGTCTATGTATGAGGCGCCTCAAAAATAGAGCCCCGGGGGGAGGAGGGGGGGTAGCGCGGAATTATGATGTGGATGTGGGATGGACGAGAAGAAAGAGAAGGGAGAGGGGGAGGGGAGGGAAGAGAGGGAAGGGAAGTGGGGGGGTGATGGTAGGGGTGGGAGGGAAGGGAGTGGTCGAGGGGTGGGAGGGTGAGAGGGGAGCAAGAAATGGCAGGGGTTGAGAGGTAAGGAGAAAACGAGGTGCAGAGTGGTTAAGATGGGCACGCAAGGCAATCACGACGACTTGGGGTGGAATTGGGGTAGGGGTTGCTTTGCAAGAATGCAAGAATAAAGAGCCAAGTGGGCAGGGGAGGGGAGGGAGAGAGAGGAAATGAAGCAGACGGGGAAGTGGCATCACCAGGCAAGTCAGAACAATACAGCTCTTTCTATGACACTTTCAACAAGTGCAGTTCACCGCACCTCACCGCACCTCACCGCACCTCACCGCACCGCACCTCACCTCACCTCACCTCACCGCACCTCACCTCACCACGTACCATGATTGTACTCGCGGCTTCTCCGAAGCGCTCCTACCAGATCACCATGCCCCTCATTCCCCATCCTTGCAATCATATCCTCCCCACTCCCCTCCCCACTCCCCTCCCCACTCCCCTCCTCATTCCCCTCCTCGTTCTCCTCCTCATCTCCCCTCAGTATTTTTTCCAGCACCCTCCCCTGCCGAACATCCACTCCGTTCATTCTCCTCTCCCCCGCCGCCTCCCACACGGACGGAGTTGTTGCCACCCACTGGCTTTTAAATTTTATATTTAGTGGATAACAAAAATCGTGAGTTAATAGAACTGATGAAGCATTTATAGCACCCAGCAGACCCAACAGATCCAGAAGAGCCGTCCCCGCACAGGACCAATGGCGGCGCGCCACGTGGCAGTGCGAGGATGAGGTGGCTGGGAGGGGAGTCGGCGCCAGCAACGGCGGCACCGAAGCGGATGGTATAGGCCGGGGTTGTGCCTCACGATATGGCCCTGCGATGCGCAGGAAAGGAAGGAGAGAGGGGGGGAGAGGAGGGGAGGCGGAAGCAAAGGGCAGGAATGGGGGCGGCACCGTATTGGATGGTGTAGGCCGGGACCGTGCCTCGCGATATGGGCCTGCGGTTTTCTGGATAGAACAGGGAATGGGGGAGGGTGTGGGAGGGAGAAGAAAGGTGGAGGGAGGAGGGTGGAGGGTAGAGGAGGGGAGGGGGAGAGGAGGTGGAAGAAGAAAGAAAGAGGCTGGGTGGTCGAGCAACTCAACTCTTGTGCATCAGAGTGGTTCTGAGTCGCATGGTATTTTTGAGAATTCACAAAAGCACAGAGATGTCTAAAAAGCACAATTTAATGATTTCTCAAAATCGTCATGGGTGGTTGGACACAAAAAGGGACGACGGGAGGGGAAGGATAGAGAAACGGTCGAACGAGCGAGAGTCATTGATGCATTGGGATACGGATGATACGAGATGTGACATGCCAGGAAGGTGATTTTTTTCTCTCTCTCCCTCTCTCACCTTGGAACAAAAGCGCTTGGTGCTTATCATGCCTCTAATCCCACGGCGCGCCAGAAAATAAGAGTGGAATTTGTTTTACCTTGAAATGGATATGCTGATAGTGCCTCTCACTCCACGGGCGTTCACCGGGTGCGCAGAGAAGTGGGCTGCAGAGTGCGTCGTGATGAGGGATAGAGGGCGAGGGCGAGGAGAGTGGGAAGAAATGAGAAAGGGGGGGTGGGATAGAGGGAAGAATGAAGAATCATATGGGTGGAACCGAGAGACGGAGAGTGGTGCCGAAGTGGGCTGCAGAGAAAGTCGTTGGAGGCGCGGAGCGAGGAGGGTAGAAGAGAAGGAAGATAGGGAGAACGGGGAAGTGGGAGAGAGCGAAGAATAAAGAGAAGAGGTCGGAAGTAGGGAAAATGATGGATATAGAAAGTGTGTGAGCAAGGGAGGGAGGGAGAGAGGGAACGAAAGAGGCAAAGAAACAAGCAGCAGCAGCTAGAGGGATTTCGGCCCCAAAAAAAACAGTGCAAAGCGCAGCATGACTGGAAGCAGCAGCTAGAGGTTGCGGTCTCACTGCTGCAGCAGAAATAGCAGGAACAGCAGACACAAGCCTTGTGCGGACAAAGCAGAGGTCAAAGCAGATTGAGATAGTGCGCCGCGGCCTGGCCTCACCTTCCCCCGTGGGGCTGGCGAGCGCGAGTGACGGAAGGAGAAAGGCGAGAAGCGCTGCTGCACGCACGAGCGACGGCAGAGGGGGGAGAGGGAGAGAGAAGCAGGGAGAGAGACATGAAGACTGGGCAGCAGTCAGGAGAACGGGCAGGAAGGAAGCAAGACGATCAGGGGAACAGGCAGCGAGAGAAGCAAGGCAGTCAGGGGAACGGCATGGGATTGGGAGGGAGGCAGAGAGGGGGTACACCGGCGGAGGAAGGGAAGGAAGAGCATCAGTAGCATGAGTGGCATGAGTGGCATACACACAACCCATGATGCTTTGAGATTTGAGGGCGTACCTACGGCGGCGATAAGCGGGGCTCGGGGTAGCGAGAAACGTTGACCCTCACGTTGACCTCCGCGTTGACTCTCCCGTTGACTCTCGCGTTGACCATCACAAGGAACAGTCATTGTGCTTGCCAGTCCGAAACCCAAGAGGCAGTAGGCCATGAACACCAACGCTACAGAAACAACAGTAAAACGGCAAAATCTCCGCGAAGGAATCACTGCGATAGTTCCTTCGAGTACAACCTCTACTTGGAGAGCCACATACACTGCCTCCGCGGCTGTGCGACAGAGAGCCTGCGACGGGTGCGACGCTTCTTCTTTGCGCGCGCAGCTCAACGCGTAGCCGCTTCTATGGCATTAAAGAGCGCTCTATTGTAGCGTTAGGTCGGCCTAAGTTGGAAGAACTTCAAGCCTAGAACCCAGCATTGCCAAATGGGCTGCCTTGAGAAGAGTAGATTTGTTGTGAATTCACAGAGATGGGCGTAGTGTGGTGTGGTGTGGATGCAAGGGTGATGGTCAAGCACCCGTTTTGAATGGATACTGCCCATGCATCACGCAGCTAGGGCGTTCAAAGAGGTGAAACTAATACATTCCTCGGTTTGATGCGTTGAAAAGCGTTTCTGAACAATTATTATCCATGGCCCGGCAACCAATAATTCAATGTTCGTGTTTGCTTGCAAGGAGGCACATCCGTGATATGTGCGGTTCGGGGTTTTCAAGCAGTGAATTATTGTCTCCAATAAAACTTCGAGACAGCGATATTAGCTTCGTTACAAGCAACGCTTGAATGCTATGCCCACAGGGTTGCAATACTAGACCCAAAGTGCCTTATTGCACAAATCCCCGAACTATTTCATACTATGGCACCACTGAGATGCCAGCACGTACACAAGATTATCATTTTAAAAAAAAAAAAACAAAAAAAAAAAACAAAAAAAAAAACAAGAGGCGACGAAATCGTCTTAGGGTTGCGAAGCAACATTACACTGTTATTTTTAGATACATCTGATCTATAGTGAGAATTATATAATATCGTAACATGACTTTGATATTTGCTGAATCATTGCTATTCATAGATACATGTTTCATGTAATATGGTAGTATACAAATGAAAGGGTGTACATAACAGATGGGTGTGGTTGTTCAGGGTAAGTTATTCTTGTTGTGTTCATATGATTTGGTTTTAGGGTGACTGAAAATCTGAAACAAATAAAACTACAGAAAGGAAAAGCATTTTTTAACCGAACCTTCGGCCATGATCAGATTCGAACTCCCGACCTTCGCGATAACGACGACGTCGACAGAGCTATGCTATACAACCCATGTTTAGAACTGGCAAAACTGAATATTGTGCTTTAATGCAATAAGAAACTTCCCATTCTAGGGTTTCGTCACATGTCTTTTTCCTCCGTTTCTCTTCCACCTAGTCAGACTACTCTAGCTTCTCCCCGTCCCTCACGCCACTCACGCCACTCACACCACTCAGACTATAACTCCTAGTTAAGGTAAGCCTCATTCTCTCTATTCTTAAGTTCATTCTAGTTGAGAGTGGGTTCTAGTTTAGCTCATTTGGTTGAGAGTTGTTTTTTTTTAAACGAGATGTAGACCTATTTTGTTTCTTAACCTCCCTTTCTTCCTAGGTTATGCACCGTACTTTTGTTCTCTCCTTTATTTCGATTTACATTCTACTTGCTTGCTCTTTTCAGCTCTTGCTCTTACTTTTGTCTTCTTCCGTACGCTGTTTCTTGATTTATTCCTCTTCCTTAATTGAAATTTGACAAGATTATTAACAATTATGTTCAGAGAGTTAAATTATTAGGTTGGAGCATTCTCTTTCTCGTTCTCTTTCTCGTTCTCTTTCTCGTTCTCTCGTTGTCTAGTTCTTTCTCGTTCTCTCGTTCGTTCTCCCTCGTTCTTTCTCTCCCGTTTTCTCTCTCTCTCTCTCGCGTTCTCTCTCTCTCCTCTTGTTCTCTCTTTCTCTCGTTCTCTCGTTCTCCCTCGTTTTCTCGTTCTCTCTCTTCTCTCTCTCTCTCTCTCTCTCTCTCTCTCTCTCTCTCTCTCTCTCTCTCTCTCTCTCTCTCTCTCTCTCTCTCTCTCTCTCTCTCTCGCTCTCGATCGTTCACCCTCGTTCTCTCTCGCTCGTTCCCTCTCTCGTTCTCTCCCTCTCGTTTCTCGTTTTCTCTCTATCGTTCTCTCTCTCTCGTTCTCTCTCGTTTTCTTTCTCTCTCGATCTCTCACACTCTATCGTTCTCCCTCTCTCGTCCTCTCTCTCTCGATCTCTCTCTCGTTGTCTCTCTCTCTCTCTCTCTCTCTCTCTCTCTCTCTCTCTCTCTCTCTCTCTCTCTCTCTCTCTCTCTCTCTTTCCCTCTCTCTCGTTCTCTCTCATTCTCTCTCTCTCTCTCTCTCTCTCTCTCTCTCTCTCTCTCTCTCTCTCTCTCTCTCTCTCTCTCTCTCTCTCTCTCTCTCTCGTTCCGTCTCTGTCGTTCTCTCGTTCTCTTTTGTCAAATCTCTCGTTCGTCCACTCTCTCGTTCTCGCTCTCTTGTCCTCTCTCTCTCGTCCTCTCTCTCTCTCTCTCTCTCTCTCTCTCTCTCTCTCTCTCTCTCTCTCTCTCTCTCTCTCTCTCTCTCTCTCTCTCTCTCTCTCTCTCGCTCGCTCTCGCTCTCGGTCTCCGTTGTTCTCGCTCAACGTATTTGTTATATTCTTTTCGTTCGTTTACTGTCCCGTTATGTGTTTTTCCCTTTGTTCTCGTTCTTTACTTTCGTTTTATGCCTTAGTACATTTTCTCCTTGTTATTTGTCAGCTCTAACCCTTCAATGCTCATGGCGTTTTTCTTGGCCCTTGTATTGTTTCATTTGTTTCTTCATTATTCCTTTTTCTCGTAATTTCATTATGCCTTGTTATTTCCCATTTGCCTTCCTTTCCTCAACCCAGCTTTGTCTTACTTTTCAGGCAGTCGAGCTCAATATGAGGAGTAGACTGATATTGCTTGTGACTTACAGTATAGGATACATAATGTCTTGGTGATTTAGGTTTCTATTTCATCTGCGGTTAATATGCTTTGTTAGTTGGCTTCGTGTGTGCGTGTATGTGTGAATGTGTATGATGATGTGTATGCGTTGTGTTGTGTGCGTATGCGTTTTCATTCATGTTTCTATTGCATTAATAACACATGTCTGTGGGGTTTAAAAATTGGGATCAAACTATCATTTCCGAGAAGGTTCTTTGCGCACTCAGTGAGTGTGTTCATTCAAACTGGATTTGATGGAATTGACCCGTTTTTTAGATCACATAGATTGTGTTGTTTCATGTAACAGTTGGATGATTCAGAAATTATGCTATTGAGCTCCCCCCCATGCTAGGCAGGGGATGCGGTAGCATAGGGTCTGCGTCAATTAACTGTTACGCACTTCCATCATGCTGTGCATTTATTTCATTACCGGTAGAATATGCATTATACTTATGCATTTGCATTTACTTCATCTACTTATATCATCATCAGACATGCATCACGGAATAAACAGTTACGCGTTCACAGTTCATCAATTGGGCGACTCATGTAATATAGGTTCAGTCAAAGTAAACTACGAAATGAGAAGGAATGTGGTTCAGCACATGGTAAATTGACGCGGCAGATACATAGCAGTCAGTCACTTAGCTAGTACGGTACCGTTCACTTTATTTTTTCCATCCTCTATTTTTTAAAATATTGAGGATTGGAAAAAAAAAAATTGTACATAACGATCGTAATAGGTTGCTTCGCAACCCAAAAAAAAAAAAAACACACACACACACACAGCTCTGCTCTGTTTTGCCACCCGAATTCCACCCTGTCACCTCCTACCTATGCCAACACTTCGACAGCATAGAAGAAGAGATAGGGTGCAAAGGGGCAACCACCTCCACCAGTTATTTGTTGAAAACAATCGGTCCGAAGCGCCTCTGTCGTGTCGAAACACTAAGACACAAAAGAAACGAAGTATAACGAATCACCGGCGAGTCAACCCTCGGAGGTTGAAAGTAACTGTTGGAGGTTACGCGAAGGTCAGCGACCTTTGACCTGACAAATACAGCGCGACAGCAAGGACACACAACTGACTCGCTACAGAGCAGTTGCCCGAGTCGTCACTGTATCAAACCACAACAGCAATACAGTTATAACTGCATCTCTTCGTATTCCTTGTACTCATATATAAACCTGTATCCGCCTGTTTTAATCAACTTACTTTGCCCTCACATACTAGCGCAAGGTGGTTCACAACCCTTTAATTAAACGCTTCCGCTACTACACCAACTCTACCCAGAGTTCACCCCTACAAAGATTTTAAGGGTTTTTCAGCCCAACATGGTATGAGAGCAATCAGGGGGGATTCAACTTCTATACCGACAATATCAATCAGCATGGCTACACAAAAGGAAAGCAGCAACTCCAACGGCTCCCAGGGCACTACTCCTACTCCACTTCTTGCCTCTAGCCTAAATACAGAGGAGGGCACAGCAACAAGACCCAGAACAACATCTACCGAGACTCCCGCGAATCAACCTGCAGACTTCGACCAGAGCATGATGGAGAAGTTTTTCTCCTTAATGTCCTTCTACGAGCAACACCAGCAATCGGCACCTGCGCAGTCACACAACAGCAACAACAACAGAGCAACACCCATGAGTCTCGACGGCTCATCATATGCACGAGGACATCAACAACAGCAGCCTACCTTTGCTCCGTACGAGCGCGGGTCCATCAGCTTTATGCCACACCCACAGCCTTCATCTGGACAAGAAAAATAACTGGACGCATGAGAAAACTGAAACGAGAATGATGCACTAAGGAATGGAGTGTGGTACAAATATGCAACACTAGAAATGTGTACCCCATATGGGCTACCCCACTACAGCCTACAGAACATTATCATTTGACACACCCCCATAGGCAAAGTGGGGGAGAACGAGGGGTCACAAGACCAATCAAGAAAAACAAAGCAAAGCTC